GTTGCACAAGAGCAGTTGTTTTGTACTCCAGCGTGTGGAACAGCAAGGATTTGTAAGCTGCTGGCAAAATCCTCAGCCATGAGGCACTGAAATCTATACGGCCAGATGGATTTACACCAGCAGCCCCACTGCTGTCATTCTGGAGTATATCCCTGCTGACAAAGGCTCAGGAAGAGCTTCCCCTATGGACGTTCCGAGTTCCTCACCCATCCTGCATGGAGCAAATTTTCGCCTTCAAAGCTCTGGTGCCCTCTCTTTGCTATCACCAGCTCACCATGAGAGGCTTCCAGCCCCCTGCCTCATGGCACCACACCACAGTCCAAGCCGTAAGCCTTGTCCCAGGGCTCATCCGCTCAGTCCCTTCCCTACAAGCCCCCCTAAGAGCACACTTCCGTTGCTGTAAGGGAGCTTCCTGATTTATGGATGTGTCCCCCATAAATTGCTTATTGGTATTTTCTTCCCCCACTTCTGTCCTTGGATTATTATTAACTTTGCAGAACAAAGTGAAAGCACTGAAGTGCCTGAAAATCGCCAAGCGCATCGCAGGTGTTACAGCAAATGAGATGCATGATAAGAGCAGCAATGATAATTATAGTAATAATTAAATCAGTTATTGCTGTTATTATTCCTTCTCCTATTCCTACAATATTTGACAAATACAGCCTCCAGGTTCTGAGCCTGAAGAAACAGTTTCAGGTGACACAGACTGCAAAGAGGAAACAGCTTTATATGGTTAAAACACATCGATAGCCAATATTGATACATGTTATCATGCAGGGATTTTATATTAAATTATTTTGCTGAGCTTTCTAAAGTTGCTTTTGAGCTCACAGCATAGGGATAGTCTATAGCTAAATACCTGAGATTTGTTTATACATTTGATATATGAAATATATCAATACATATATAAATACATACATAAAAAAGATCCTCTTCCAGGGGAAACCGCAGCTGGATTATAACTGAGTCTAAAGGAGAATTTCATTCTCCTCTAAATCATTCCCTCTTGATACATTTTCTTCATATTGAGTAGCTGGATGCAATTCCCCCTCTATGTACTAAGCCTGTGTTACTACAATTCCAGCATGATCTACGTTTCTTTGGAGTCTAACAAGATCATGAATCAGGAAATAGCACTGCACTTTATATTATGTATTTATTTATTGTGTTAGGAGGACATTTACCTTGGTCCAGAGAACAAAATTAGGCTGCTACAGCCTTGGTTTCATATAAGTTATTTTCCTCTCAAAGCCTAAGCCCTTTGGACAGGAATTTATTTCACTGGTACTGAATGAGAACTCTCTGATTCTCTCACCGCCTCCAGGTATGATTTCTGTACCTCTTCTCCTGCTTCCAGTTTCGGATCCATTACTTGAATGCTTGGAAACATGAAATATAATATCAACAAGCACAAAGGGAGAAAGTCTGCAGCGTGGAGGGAATGTCTTTTGTTCCTTTTCAATCCTTTGGTAATTAAAGAAATCCCACTCAGTGATGTGATGTGTTCAGTGACATGATTATACTTCATGTCTTAGTCTTTTGTTTGAATTTTAGGGGCTGGTTGGCCATTTGGAATAATGTCCCACTGATCATATATGAGTGATGGGTAATGACAGCATCAAGACTATAAATGAGAATTAGTAACAGCTTCATGCATAGGTGGTGTGAAGGCAGCTGAGTGGGCTCGGCTCAATCTGAGCACAGTGGGTTGTGTAACGAAGCTGCAGAGCTCTCAGCACAGCCCAGCTCGTGCTCCTTCCTCAGCTGCGGGTTTCAGGGTATCAGAGATCCAGGTCGAGAGCTTCTGCTGCAGAAATACATTGGGTCAGGTTGCATGAAACAGTTTGAACACTGAGGCTGCCCTGGTGATTCTGAGCTGATTCCTTGAGGTTGTGGGTGTTTGTGAGACGAGATGGGAACCATCGAGAGGCATGGAGCACCTCTGCTGTGAGGAGAGGCTGAGAGAGCTGGGCTGGTTCAGCCTGGAGAAGAGAAGGCTCCTGAAGGGGAGACCTTAGAGCAGCTCCAGTGCTTAAAGGGGCTGCAGGAAACTTGGAGAGGGGCTTTGGACAAGGGCCTGTAGGGGCAGGACAAGGGGAATGGCTTTAACCTGCCAGAGGGGAGATTCAGGCTGGGTGGGGGAAGAATTCTTTATAATGAAGGTGATAAAACACTGGCACAGGTTGGCCAAAGAGGAGGTGGCGACATTCAAGGTCAAGCCGGATGTGGTTCTGGGCAACCTGATCTGGTTGAAGATGTCCCTGCTCATTGCAGGGGGGTTGGACTAAATGACCTTTGAAGGTCCCTTCCAAAACTATTCTATGATTCTACAATTAAAAAGAAGGACCATTCTGCAGACAGTTCATGGGATGACCCTTGAGCAGTGAAAGACAACTTGACATGGAATGTGTACTAATAAATGTTAATATGAAAGTGGAAAATTACATCACAGAATATGAAAGAGCTCAATGTATTTATAATACAACAGTAATTATCCTTTCTAATACTAAAAATATCAGTGAAGAACACTATGAGAACTTTGCTAAGTGTCCCAACATGTTCCTATTGCTCTATTTGATAACTCTGCAAGAAGTTAAGCCTCAAAGCCTCAGAGTCCCCATGAGATTAGACAGTATTCACACACAACACAGAGGAGAGAAGTTAAATGAGCAAATGGCAAGTTTATCTCACATTGACGAGTTATAAAATCATTAAGCAAGTAAAAGTTTATTGGGGTCACTGGCTGCGGCCCAGCGAGGATTTCACAACGCTATCAGTGGGGTGTTGAAACACTGAAAGACGCAAACAAGGCAGCAAGCAACTGCTGGGGTTCAGAGCAGCACTCTCATTGCAGAAACGCTCTCTCAAGTATTTCTTAGATAAGAAACTGTTTATCAGCATGTGCCTGTGCTCTTCCTGGAATCAAGGCCTGTGCGAGGTTTGCCACATACACCAACGTTCCCTCGGTGCTTTGGGATTTCTTCCCGTTCAGGCACCAGGAGCACAGAAGAAGTGGATGTACAGCAGATATATACAGTCAAGAAGAGGTGTGACATATAAATATGGTGGATATTTACTTAGTGATTTGAGCTGAGTTAGAGAGTAACTGGTACTTCTGTCACTCGTTCTTGTGCACAGAGAAAACCCTCTCAAGAACATGGGTGGATGCTCTCTTAAGAACATGGATGGATAGGAATATGTCAAAGCAGGAGCACAAGGAAAGGTAGAGCTCATGCAGCTGCTGGTACAATAGAAAATTGGAACACTGAAATGAAACATAAAACTGAGGTGTAACCTATGTGAAGACAATGAAAGATGTGCTCTGGACACCCAACAAAACCCCAGTGTAATTGTGTTAACCATGTAGCAACCTCTGAAACAGAGCATTTCTGAACTTCTCTCTGTGATGTAGCGTTTCTTTAGAATCATTTGGCCATCTAGGAAACATGTCAGCCTGGCTTTCAGCATACTGAAGTTTAAAACCAATGTAAATGTAAACACTTGCTGATACCAACACTTCATTCACTTCACACAAGAAGAAATTATGCATTTTTGTATCAGGATTACATTGCAACCAAGATGATTTTTGTACTGTCTCTGCAATTCTTCACCAAAACCACCTCCTGATGAAGCACAATGTGTAACTCACAGGCTTTGTATGTCCATGGAATCTTCTCTCAACAGCAGACTTACAAATCCCAGACTGGTTTGTGTTGGAAGGGAGCTTAAAGCTCATCCAGTCCCAACCCCTGCCATGGGCAGGGACACCTTCCAATAGAGCAGGTTCCTTCAAGCCCCATCCAACCTGGCCTTGAACACTGCCAGGGATGGGATAAATGTTCCTACAAAACAAGCTCTACTGCAACCTGCTTTAAATCTAACTGCCAGGTACTACAGAGGGAATGCTTTGGGAGGTGGCACCAGGTTTTTGAAGGAGCTACCCAGTACTACGGATCTCATGGAAAACCAGAACTATTTCACAGAACCAATCAGTGACTATACCCCACATCCTCTTAGGAGAAAGGAAACTTCTCACCAGCATAACATAGGGCCACCACCATCCAGTCAGAACACAGGGCAAGCCTCAAGTGGTGCATCACAGCATGAATTCTATTATCAGATCACTTGGTACAGCCGCTCAGATGGACTGATCACAAACATGCAACTTCTGTAGCCAGGTCTACTCTATTGCCTGGTAACAGAAATCACCCTCCATAAAAAGCAACCACTTGATATATCTGCATTTGTATACACAGATCCATCAATATTCAAAACCATACACTATAAATTCAAAGATTCAGTGTTCTGAGAGCTAACCATTAAAAGAAGAATAAATGTTAGCAATAAAAATCCCAACAGAACAAACTCTGAGAGCCCAGCTTAAAGATCTACAAGGGATCTCATAAACACATAGTAAACGTCCTCACTGATGGATGCCACAGAGGCGAAAACCTCTACGTTACCCACACAGCACATCATTTACAAACCATCTCTTTCTGCCTGGATACAAAGAAGTAAAGCAGAGCATTTCACATAGTACTTGTAAAATTCAAAGTTGAAAGCCAAGGAAAACAACCAAGATCAGAGCTGCTCAACAAAACTCTTATCTCCATTCACACGGTGTCTTTTTATTCTTACAACTTGTCGATGAACCAGTAAATGAGACTCTTAACTGTCAGTACTGATAGATATCATGGCTTTGGGTGCACAAAGATAAATTAAACAGTATGGGCTTGAATCACGTCAACACCACAGGCAACTGCTGTGGGTTTTGCCACCCAAAGCGTTGGTAAGGGATTAGGGTGTTTGCTGTCGATTCGTACTCTGGTGCCCTAAGCCCTAAAGAATGCAGTAAGTCCTGGTAATTTTTGTTGGCTCATGTCCCTCACACGTGGGCTGTGTGTGACCAAGAGTAGCTTCTCATGAGGAACACAGCAGTAGAGTTGAGTGTGCTCTGCCAAAAAGCCCCTGGGAAGCAGGGTTTGTTGGCACATCCCTACCTTCAAGCAAGCAGCCAGCGGGGGTCCATCTCTGAGCTACCTCCAGGCAAAACTGGCACAGGTCTCTTCAAACACAGAACCTGAAAGTGAAATTACAGAGGATAGGACTGGTAAAGAGGGAAAGGCAGGAGAAATAACGCACCAAAGAATATGCACAGACAGAATGGGAATACTGCTCTGTTACAAATAGCATTTACATATATAGAACACACACAGGGTCCTATTTCTCCTGGCATTCAGCCCTGGGTGGTGAAACGGGATGCTCTGGGTTACAGTGGTCCATCCTTTTTCCAGCTGGTCAGATACGAGCTGAAGGCCCCCCCTAGCACCACACAGTGTTGGCAACAAGGACTTGCAAGATGAGTCGATGCCTTCACAGAGGTGCTGAAGGTGGAATTTAGCTGCTGAAATTCCTGCTGCTTTCCCATCTCATTCTTATTGTCTCCTAGGTCACAGCAGAAAAGGAAACACAACTAACCAGGTCTCAAACTACCTCTTGTGGTCCATCACATGAAAAACTTATATTCTGGAGCTGAAGTAAGATAATATTTGAGAAAAGGAAAAGAAAACATGCATCCAAGAGAAAAAAATGTGGCATAAAGCACATAGAACAGCTAAAGAAAAAGCAGTGACAACAAACAAGCTCTGCAGTCAAGGAAAGGGTGAAATCTTGGCCCCACTGAAGTCCGTGGGCTGTTTGCCAGAAAGCTGTAGATGACTTTGTTTTACTCAGGATTTTTAATTAGTGATTAAATGATTCAATGGCAACTCAGCTGGTTTAAGAAGGAAAAACCCCATAGAACAGCTCCAGTGTGCCTCTCCCTGCCCTGCCTCCCCCTTGGGAGGTACGGGTCATACACAGCTTTCTTATGGGAAGCTTGACAGGTATTTCATTGAACCTGGGTTGAAATCTGCAGCTTCCCAGGCCCTGCCTCCTTCCCCAGTTTGGGATGAAGAGAGGAAACACCTGCTAATGACACCAGAGACAGGGCAAACAGCAGAAGCCATGTGTCAGCAGAAAGCACGCAGCCTCTGCAGCGCAAACACAGCCTCTCTAATGGTGGATGGAGTACATGAAGAAATAGGAAGCTGCTTCCATTTAACTGAGGTATATTTGAATGGATTTGAATGATTCTGGAGTGACATACCCCAAATAAATAAGGCATCTCACCACCTGAAGGTGTAACTCACTATGTTAAAAGCCCCACCACCCAAATGAGCTATTCACACCGCACACTTCTCTTATTGCGCTTGATTTTCCTGCTTTTTCCCCTCTCCAAAGTGCATCGGTTTCTATGGAAACAGCACACATCACAGGGATGGACAGAACTTGGTGACATCCCCAAGCACTGGCAGAAAACACAGTTTAAATATTAACTTTGCCATCTCTGACATAAGCTGAGGAAGGCAACGAGTGTTTCCACCGCACGCACGTGTGTACATGTGTCAGTGTGTGTGTGTGCACGTGTCAGCGTGTGTGTGCACACTCTTCCTCTCACCACGCCTGTTACACACATGCAATGCCACAGCTCCCTGGGCCAGCACGCAGCAGAAGGCTCAGCAGAATCCATTCCATCCTCTTCTGCTTTAATATAGCTGAAAATTGCTTTGACAGCTGAATAGCTTCTTTGTTTATAGCTCCTTCTTAGCTGACTCTGCTGCATTATGTAGCTTTGTAAAGAGATTACTTTGTCAAGAACTGAACATATATGGTCTGAGCATGAACAATTCAGCCTGATGAACTGCATTCATTTTATATGACGTACGGGGCTGCAATCCTGCTGCCTTTAATATGTCTGCTTTTCTCTCTGGGTTTCAGTTCCTGATGTTTCTTGGGGTCTTTGGGATTATTTTCTTTCCCTGCATCTTTCCAGGAAGGGTAATTTTCAGTAAGTCAAATCTCAATATGTTGTATCATGCCCTAAATGTTGTACTGAACCCAGGTTTTGGCTGCGTATAACAGGGGATCATCATTATCCAGTGAGCTAATTATCCACCTGCAAATATCCCATTCCTGCCTGAAACTGCCATAGTTTTGTTAGTGTTTGAATCAGTATTTCAACGCAGCAGTGATCCAGCAATGGCTTAGGAAATGGACCCTGCTATAGGGGACACCATATGGAACATGTACAGCTTCTTCCCCTGTTCCTTCACCCGAGTCCTAAAAGCAAACCTAAGCGGGCAGATCTCCCTTTACATGACTTCAGTACAGCTGTACATGAGCCAGCTCCTTGTCTTTACAAAGCCAGATCAAACCATGAGAGCAAACCCACCATGCACAGCCTTGCTGGCACTACCAGGGACTTGCACTGTGCATTGAATGAACTCTGCCGGCCGTCACCTTGGATGGTGCTGCAGTTGACTGCACCGGTGGTCTCTTACCACTGGTGAACTTTCTACTTCTAGCCATGGCTTGCTTTGAAATTACCTTATTCCAGGTTCACTTTGTGCCCAGAGGCACAACACAAACTCAGGGCATTTTTCCCTAGTTTCTCCTGGCTTCTTCCTCAATCCCTTCCACAGTTTTTTAACCAAACACCATTAATTCTGATGGGCAGATGATACGGTCCAGTCTAAAGATGACTAAGCACATTAATTGCCCTAACAGCAAAATTCCTATTGACTTTATAGCAGGTGCTACATTGATCTGAGGCTGAGAGCTTTATTTAGAGACATCACTGAAGGTTTTCCTTGTGTGGGACATGGAGCTGGGCCTGGAAGCATCTTGCATTTCAACAGTTTTTGCTCAGCCCGTGCACTGGCAGAACTCCAGTTCACACTACGCCCTCCATATTGCACTTGGTGGCATTTCACCACTTCTGAAAATACCAACCTTTGCTAAAAACAGAGAGGAGGTTTGATAGACAAATCCCTCCTTATCTCTTAGTCATAAACCACCATGCACTTCAGATGATTTAAAGAGCTTCATACACAGTTACCTTAAAAAATATACAAGAAAAAGGCTTAGTTGCAAATCACTGTTTGAAAACAGAAGATGCAGAGATTCCTCACAACCTTGTTTGCTCCCACTCGTACTCTTAATGTGCACATATTTCCCAAGAGTTGGCACAATATGTGCTAATTTGTTGAATACATATAGATCTTAAATTCACCATCTGCAGTGAAGTTGTTTGCAGTAGAAACCAGTGTCTTGACCAATGAATTCCTTGTCTTCCAACCCTTCAGCAGATGATGGACAGCTGTCTATTGCTGGGAAAAAAACTACACTGACCATGCAACGTTCATAGGATGGTTTGGGTCGGAAGGGACCTTAAAGCTCATCCAGCTCCAACCCCTGCCATGGGCAGGGACCCCTTCCACTAGAGCAGCTTGCTCCAAGCCCCTGTGTCCAACCTGGCCTTGAACACTGCCAGGGATGGAACATATTAGGCACCACGTTGATACAACTGACGAAAGGCTGCACAGGAGATATGGAAACAATCGTTCTTGTTGTACTGGGACTTCTCAGATGTAGCAAGAAGTCATGGGATGCTCAGAGAGTCAGTAAATTTCCACAGCCGGTTTCTGTGCTTCACCCCCCCTTGTGGCAAACCTGCCTGAACCACCAGACATGTCTCAATCGGTCTGGAACCTGCTCTGCCGCAGGAGCCCCTGGAAAATCCCAGGCCAGCAGACACCAGCTGGATGGGGCTCTGGTTGGTGCCAACAGAGGCGGCAGTGATTTGCACCCTCACCCATTGGGTGCGTTGGTGGGAAAGGGCTGAAGTCAATTGCATGAAATACACCAAAGGCATTGTGCAAAAGAGAACACGAGGGATTAAAAAGAACTGTTGTGGTTTGCAGAGGAGATGTAAATGGTTTCCAAGATCAGACAGCCTCACTACAGACAAAATGAGAAGTAGAGAGGGGAAGGAAGATGTGTCATCACGTTGCAGCATGCTCTTTCCGGAGTCAATAACGCAGATTTGCATGTGCTAAGCGTGCCTCGCGCTTTCCTTCAAGGAGAGCTCTGTATTGTTAATAGCCAGATGGTTGATTTCCATGTTCACATATCTTCTCATTTCAGTGCTGCTGGCACCTACAAATCTGAATTTAAGTCTCCAAAACCATCTAAAATCTCTGCCTCTGACTAGTCTTAGCTGTTCCCTGCCAGTGTATGAACACGACTATCCTTCTATAAGGATAAAAACAAGCTAAATATATCCCAAGAGGGATATATGGGTCACTGAGTGCCAGCCTACAATGCCATAAGAAATCCGAGTCTCGTGCTACTTCTGACTGGCTCAACCAAGGCTGACCTGCACCAAGCTCCTCACATACACAAGAATATACTTCACCAGAAAGGAGATCTTGTGTGTTCTGCTTGGCAGAAAGATGACTGATAATACAAGGGCTGATGCTCTTATCAGATGGGTACTTCCCTTGTTCAGAGAGCTTGCAGCCTGCCATGTTGGGAAAGTGACCACGGTTGGAGCAGAACCACAGGCCCAGCTCTCAGTGCCCGTGTAGTGGCAGATGTAAAGGTGCTGGATGTGCATGTGATTGGGATTAGCAGGCCAGACCACTATGCATCAAAGCATTTAAGACTGCATCTGCAGGGCTGAATAACTCAAGGAAGTCCAAAGTTATTGCAAATGGATCTTTACTGTCAATGACAAGTTTTTCATAAGGATTGGCAAGCTTTCATTGTGTCTGAGCCAAATAGTTTCTGAAAGAAACTTTGGAAATCCTAAACCAGGCAGAATTACCCTAAAGAAGCTCCGGTGTGGTTTTCTCTGATGAGAACGGATGGGTGCAAGCACTTCCTCATTCTCTCACCTCAGAGACAGGCAGCATGATTTTGGACAACCACAACAGCCTGGCTCACCCAAGGGGGTTGTTTCAAGTTCTCCCTCAGCAGGGCAAAAGCCCACCCCAAAAGAAGCAAGGGGGAATGAATCCTTGACAGCCGCTGCCCTCACTTGAATGCTACGAGGCTTTTCGAGTCCTGTTCTGTAAACAGGAATTGCCTTTGGACCCTTAGAGCCCACTCACTATATCATTCTGGAATGGCGTTAATCCCTCTGTCATGGAGGTCAAAGCAAGTTTTCTATTCCAAGCTCAGTGAAACACATCTCCT